ATGATGAAGCACGGCGGTGGCAGCATCATGAACATTTTATCAATGATTTAAACCCTATAAAACAAAGCGTCTGACTAAAATACAAAACAGGCTGACAACCTACAGTATGAATAATTATGGAGATTAAACTGACTAGTTTTGAACTAAAGTTATGACCTCACAGAAATATATATAAAAATTCGACCAATGTGAGGGTTCTCTGTGAGCACGCCTGGTTTCTAATGGAGTCTTCTGTTGCCGCTGACCTCTGCCTGCTCGTCGGATTAAAACACCTGCAGTGAAATCCAGAAAGTGTCCGTCCTGACCAGGAAAAGCTTCTAATCAGCAGCTCGTCGCTCAGAGACGCTGTGATTGGTTCACTGAGCCCAGCAATGGGATTGAAGAGCAGAAACTCATCGACACGAGTGTCTCGAATTAAACATTCGACAGATAAAATCTGCACTTTAATCAGGAAGGCTGAGCTAGCTCCACCTCCAGATGGAAATATGAGGCTTTTTAAATACATGTCTGTCACTTCATTTTAAAAACAGATAGCAAAACATCTCTGGTACAAACAGAATTTATAGAAAAAGGCTGGATATTCTCTTCGTTCATTGGCGTTGAACCTTTCTTGAATCCTCCAGCGCAGCTTTAACATGAGCCCTTCACAGTCTGTCAGCACTGAATAGAGGCAACACCAGCGATCAGTGACTCGACAGTCAGACTTCCAGCACAGCAAGCCGTTTGCTCCGTTTGCTGATGAAGACCATGTGCTGCGGTCGAAAGCTGCTGACTCGTGTATCAGCCCAGAGGTCAGCTGAGGACAGTCACATGATCAGTTTCCGACATAAACTCCGAGTCTGTCGGCTGGAAGCTGATCTGAGCGCCGCGTCATTCATCTGAACTTCTGCTGAGTCATGAAGTCCTGGGAGGAGACGGACGAAGAAGTAATCTGTGTCTGAGCATCAGCTGCAGGCTGAAACTGAAGACAGCAAATATGGACGTCTTCACACCGAGAGCTTCTACAGACAAGATTGAAATATCCAACCTGAAAGAACCTGAAAGAACCTGAAAGAACCTGAAAGAACCATCCTGAAACATGAAGCATCCTCCAGTCTTCAGGCGGCGGGCCGTTCCCTCTTTTCCCTCTTTCCTGTCTCTCAGGTGGGTGCTGGTGTCGTGTGCAGCTCCAGGCAGGTGCAGTGATTCTCTGATCACCTGATCTCGTTCAGCTGCGACAGAGGCGTGGTCTACTCGCTCACCTGGCTCCCTATAAGCGCTCTGCAGACCGCTACAGGACGGCGGACTGGAAGCGAACACTCAGTCAGTTCCCTGGTTCTGTCTGTTCCACTCTGGGCCGATCTCCTTCCCGTCATGGATCCTGTCTTCTCCTGTGCAGCTCCTGGAGCCCTCCGTCGCTCCGGACCCAGTCTGGCTCTTTCCCCTGGTTCTCCACATTCCCCTCTGGCTTCATACCTCCGCCTGGAACCGGTCTGCTCCCCTGCCTCTGCACCTGTCTGGTCTCCTGCCACATCACCTGCTGCTCCTCTCCACGCCAACCGGGGAAGCTCGGGTTTAGTGCTTAATTTAGTTATTATTGTAATTCCTAGTGTTTCGGTATTTGATATCCTGAGTTTATTCCGCCTGGCCTTTAGAGGGCGCTGTTTAGTCCCTCCCTGATTTATTCTGCCAGTTGATCTGTTCTGGTTTCCTGTTTTCCATATATTCTGTTTTTGTAATGAAACTATTGTTCTTTAGCTGCCTGTCCACCATGTCTAGTCCGATCCGTGACAGAAACAGCCTGAACCAGCTGCAGGCCGACACCGAGCCCGCCGGTTCTACGTCTTTGCTCTGCCGATGAGACTTTCAATCATGTTCACAGAACCACCAGCTGGGAGAGAAAGCAGAGACTTATTCCGGGTACGACTTTGTTCTTTCTGAAAAGTGACAAAGTCTTTGCATGAGGACACTGTCAGAGCTCGTACCTCCACAGCAGCCTTCGCTCTGACAAACTCGTCCTCCAGAGATTCGTTTCTGGCCAGCAGAGATCGAGTCCGGCGGCGCTGTCTGGACGCCCCACAGTCCTGAAACACAGAGAGGTCAGCAGCAGCAGCTCTGAGACGGAAACAGAGCAGCAAACTTCAGAGCAAAGTCAAAGCTGCATCTGAACAGACATTAATCACCTGAACTAACCAGCAGCTCTGCAGGGAACGCTGCTTTGTCCCACGCTCCCCGAACTGCACACTGTCCCTGGTCTTTATTAGAGTCACTTTCTGGCAGCGTGTTCCTGTTATCAGCTACTGACAAACTGACGGATTGCTTCAAAGGCACCTCAGTCTGCAGCCCGTCTGAGTGAAGCAGCAGCTGGACGGTGAAGCTCTGAGCTCCAGAACAAAGCAGGAGATGCTGGACATATGGTTCGTCTGCAGGGTTCTAGACCCGGAGCTCCGAGGCACTACTCCTTCATAGGATCTGGCTGAGGTGGTTCAACATGTGGTCAGGAGCCTCCTCCCGTCCCAGCTGGAGGAGAACCAGAACCAGAGGGTTATCTCATGTGGCCTGGAGCGCCTCTGGATCCTCCAGGAGGAAAGTGGACAGCAGATGGATTCATCCATCCAGAGGGTTCCCAGGACACACGGCATCCGTGGAGGACCCCGACCACATGTTGAACCACGTCAGCCGGATCCTCTGAGCAGCGACTCAGAGCTCCTCTCTGGATTCGTCATTTCTACGCCTCTGATTCACCGTCTGTCAGCAGCAGTGCATTCTGGGAGCGTCGGCATCGTTTCACAGACACACTGTCTTATTGCTCAATCCAAAAAAACTGAAACGCAGAACGAGAAGGACGAGAACAACACAACACAACACAACACAACACAACACAACACACGTAGACACAACACAACACAACACAA